GCAAGGACCAGGGGATCAACGCACACGGTGAGAGAGAACCTCGGCATGCATGGATGGAGCGAGATCTACATTGTGAGCCCGTCGATCACCACAGGTGCCAACTACAACTTCCAAGTCACAAAAGGATCGTTGGAATCTGTGAATGCGACATTGGATGGCTTGACTGAAGAGCAGCTTGCAACCGTCACATTGCATTACCATCTGTCTCTCCAGGCAATCCTCATCGAGAACATGTCCTTTCCGATGAGTGAGGTCGGAGACGGAGCAGCAATTCGCACTGACTTGCAGCGACAGCTCAAGATCACGTACGTTGACCCTATCATTGCGGCAGGGAAGCGTACCACGCGCCCTCCAATTGTCAACATCAATCACGACTTACGGTTCGTTGGAGCAGCTAGCAATTACCTTCAGCACAAAGCTTCTCTGTTCAACGGTTTCCACGCGCTGGGAATGTATATTGAACTGGAGTTGCGAGCCCGAGCATGCGTGGTGATTCATGGATCTTCGTTTTGGTCAAGAATGTACAGCCAGATGAAACATGCGTCATCAGGCGTGCATACACTGTCAGCCGAAAAGGTGCCAGCACCGGACAATCGGGTCAGGTTCAAATTGGGCTTCGCTATCTACGAGAAGCAGCTGTTCTGCGAGAAGATGGTATCCACGTGCTTTGTTGAGGCATCGAAAGTTCGCTCATGGGACGAAACTGTCCGCGCCGACTCAGTCGCTCACCCGTCGCTTGTCGAGATTTGGGAGGACAAGAGTGAAGTCAAGACGTCCACCAAGATTTCGCAGACATGGTTTACGGGAGAACAGCAGCAACAGATCAGGTCGGGTGCCCAGGGTGACACGGTCGCTGAATCGTCCACAGTCACCTGGCAGGACTTTGACATCGCCATGACCGTCCCCGAAGCCTACTACGACAACAGGCACTACTGGTTCCGGATCGACACCTATGCGACCCCGAACACCGGCTATGTCAAAGGGAGAACGTTCTATTGCCCTGGATGTGACGCAATGAAGTTGGCTGAGTGCTACGCACAGGCCTTCTTCAAGCCGACTGGAAACGGGTATCCTGGACACTGCATTGGATGCGCGCATACTTCAGCCTTGAAGATGCAGCATCAAATCGGCTCCTTCAATGACTTGGTCGCGTCCCAGAAGTACACCTTGGCTTGCGCAAAGCACCTTTATGACCTGAGGCTTCAATTTGTGGACCCTCGCATGGACATCAAGGAGTTCCTCAAAGCTTGTGCGGAAGTGGTCTACGAAGACATTGGCAAGACGGTTTCTCACTACGGTGGTCTCCGAATCACAGCCAGTCAGGCCATCGAGTACGCGGCATGGGGAAAGGCCAAACAGTTGGCATGGGACAGAGGATACGACTACGAAGGCAAGACATGCTACATCTGCTACTACGATGCCGGGAACTGCGCTTATGCTGGTTTCATGAGAATGCTTTTGACTCCGGAGGAGCGCCAAGAATGCTACAGAGGGTCAGCCTTGCCCAAGGAGGAACTCCTGGGTGACACGGTGGAGCTGGCGCTCGGGCTTCTTACAATTGCAATGAGACACCCAAGTCATTTTCCGAATTGGGGTGGCCTTGAGGGAGCAAATGCGTGCGTGAGGGGAATCGAAAGATCATTCTTCCGCTACGCGTCGGCCGAAGCTATCGAGCTGATCACGGTTGACTCCCCGCGCAAAAGGACACCGCCCAAGAAGAATGAAGCAGTCGCTGAGATCGTCAACAACATGTCCGCTGACCTCGTGATTGATTTCACAGTGATCGTCGATGGTGATATCTACCCTGTAGAGATTGCGAGAACCGACGAGACACAGGCCGCTGACAACGTCACGGACGATCCAGGGTTCTCAGTTGCTCCACCAATACCTGCACAGGATGTAGATGTGGATGCGCAACCCGAAGAAGAACAAGGTGCAGAAGGCCCTGATCCCAGGCAGGCGATTCGTGAAGGATTTGTCGCGCAGCTTAAGGACTATGTGGGAGTACTCGCTCAGGGCGAAATGTCGGTCGGAAGCGACCGCCTCACGTTCTGTATCGCTTGTGGCAGTGATCTACACAATCTGTCCAATTGCACGGAAAATGCTGCGACCCGGGATCTGGTACTTCGAGGCATCCAGATCATCAAGGAAAGCCTTCTTCGATATCCACGTCGATTACCTCCACAAGAGGCTGAGCCAATGGACGTTGACACCACAGACCATGTGAGTGTTGCATCCTCGGACCGACGACCCAAGGCCAAAGCCCGACCGCGACGCGGAGGCGAAGCCGTACGGGGTGATGTGGTCTTGATCCGTTATGAGAACAAACACAATCTCTGCACGGATGTGGAGAACCGTCGGGGCCTACATGATGCTGGTGGCGTACCACTGCAGGAATCGGGACCAGAGAATAGCCAGCGAGTGGTGGACCTCATTGAGCAGCTTTCGGACCATCGCGACCGACGCCTACCTCAACGAGGAGACCGTCCTAGCTTTGCTTATGATGATACCATTCAGGGCTACACCAATGCAGGCTATGAATGCATCGGCGGCGGAAGGCCAATCCGGTGCGGGATTCTCGACCTGATCCCAACCAAGGGTGCAAGCTTCATCCACAATCGATGGGACATCGTGAACGAAGTTGTCCTTCGCAACATCACCCGTCATCGCAGAATAAACGCGGATTGGGCGCATCCAATCTGACCTGCGTCACAGAATCGCCAGGCGCCCAGGCTCGGAATGGCTTGACAACAGGTGCCAGGTGGCATTCAGCAGCGTCATTCGATGTGATGAAGGAGGGTGGGTGCTGATCGAGGACTTGGTGAGGCATGAGCAACTATGGACCCATGACAGCAGACGCATCACCGAAGCGGTATCAAGGACCGATGAGCAACAGAGGAAGAGAGTGTACAATGAAAGACTTCAGCTATTGTTCCAAGGGAACATGCTCGCAGCCACGAGACGCCACAAGGCCAAGATTCGGTTGCAGTTCCTGGGAGTGAGAGTGAAGGACCCCGGCGTGGAAACTCTTGGATCCGCAGGTTCGAACATGTTGGTATCGATTCCTGACCAGAGCACGGAGATCCAGAACAATGATCGTTGCCGGCACAGCCAGAGGTACCTGAACGTTTGCAACGGCTGGGTGAAGCCATGGGCAGTTCGGGCTACAAGTGGTCACTCTGCGCACTCAGATCCCCAGAACAATTTGCTTCAGTTGGACAAGAACAGGTTCGCAATATCTCCATCTATGACCCTCTTGCAACGTCTTGGAGGAGCGTTCCACGCTACAGCATGCCGCAACTTGGATTCCATTGTCACGCAAGGCATCATGCCTGGTTCGGAGGACCCCGACGGGGACTTCGACCATAGGCGCCAATTTCGAGGCAACCAAGGCGGCAGACTCAACAGCTATTGGGGGGTGTTTGCACCGTTCGATCACCGGAATGCGACGACCAAGATGCGGGTACATGGACGAGATGCCAAGCACATGCCACTGGCGGTCCTTCATGTCCCATCGCAGGACCTTGCACGAGAAGATGGACGTATCACAGCCAGCGGCATCATGATCGTTGGCCGAACGATACCGTTCCAGTTCGT